GTGTGTAATATATACAGTTGCAATCAAAATTATTCAACCCCCACTGCAAATCAGGTTTAGTGTCAAAATTAACAGACTTTCAGCTGTTTGCAATGAACAAATCAAACAAAAGCAAATTAAATCGTTCAACACAATGAATGCTTCAAGTGGTTTCCCTGAATTCAAGTGAAAATACAGCTTACAGTGACTTCTCCAGTTTGTAAATTATTCAAATTATTCAGTTGGAACACATGAAATACCTTAACTGGCTAGGAGCAGAAACTACATGAAATTCCTGGAAATAGGAAGCTATAAACAGCTGTAACCAGATTTCTGAGAAGGCAGGTTTTGGAAAAACCCTTGAATGACTGCAAAACACCTGCAGCAAGATTTGGTGGCAACAGGCACTGAGTAGTGAAGTAAGGCACATACTAAACTCAGAAGGTTTCCATGCCAGAACTCCAAGACATACACCATTATTGACTCAAAAGCACAAGAAAAATCAACACAAAATAATATTAATAAGCCACAGACGTTTTGGGATTCTGTTCTGTGGAGCGATGAAACAAAACTAGAACTTTTTCGCATGATGGATCAGTGGTATGTCTGGAAGAAGAAGAATGAAGAAAGAACACTCTGTCCACAGTCAAGCATGGTGGTGGCTCTGTATTGCTCAGGGGCTGCTTTGAATCCTCTGGCACTGGAATCTTGCAGTGTGTGGAAAGCAAGTTGGAGTCACTGAAGTATCAGAAATCCTAGGAGAAAACCTCATGCCATCTGTGAGGAAGCTGAAGCTTGGGTGTCATTGGACCTTCCAACAGGACAACAGGGCGGCTGTGGCGCAGTTGGTAGAGTGCACTAATCGTAGGGTTGGCGGTTCGATTCCCGGCCCGGGTGACTCCATATGCCGAAGTGTCCTTGGGCAAGACACTGAACCCCAAGTTGCTCCCAATGGCAAGCTAGCACCTTGCATGGCAGCTCTGCTACCATTGGTGTGTGAGTGTGTGTGTGTGAATGGGTGAATGAGACACAGTGTAAAGCGCTTTGGATAAAAGCGCTATTTAAGTGCACATTTACCATTTACATTTACAATGATCCCAAGCATACATCGAATTCCACCAAGGCTTGGTTGCAGAAGACGCCCTGGAAGATTCTACAGGTTCTACAGTCACCTGACTTGAACCCCATAGAAAATCTCTGGTGGTATTTGAAGAAGACGGTTGCAGCACGCAAACCCAGGAATATTACTGAAATGGAGGCCATTGTTCATGAGGAATGGGCTAAGATTCCTCAGGAACGCTGCCAGAAGCTGGTGTCTGACTATGCATCTCATTTGCAACAGGTCATAACAGCAGGGTGTTCTACTAAATACTAAAGATGCTTGCCATGAAGGGGTTGAATAATTTGAGTAGAGAAGTCATTCTAAGTTGCATTTTCAGTTAAATTTGGGGAAATCACTTGAAGCATTCGTTGTGTTGAACTATTGAACTATTTCAATTTCTTTTGTTTGCTTTGTTTATTGCAAACAGCTGAAAATCTGTACTTTTTTACTAAACCTGACTTGCAAAGGGGGTTGAAAAATATTGATTGTGAATATGTGTGTGTGTACATATCTATCCATCCATCTATCCATCTGTCTGTCTGTCTATCTATCTATCTATCTATCTATCTATCTATCTAGATAGATAGATAGATAGATAGATAGATAGATAGATAGATAGATAGATAGATAGATAGATAGATAGATAGATAGATAGATAGATAGATAGATAGATATTACACACACAGTAGGTATTTCAGTTACATGAGCCATCCTTAGATTTAATAAGTGTGTGTGTGTGTGTGTGTGTGTGTGTGTGTGTGTGTGTGTGTGTGTGTGTGAGAGAGAGAGAGAGACCTGACTGCTCTCAGTCTGAGTGCATGGGGCTCATTACAGGAGCAAGCAGAGATTTACATACAGACTTTGAAGTATCCAAACAGTTTCCTACACAGTGATTAACAATGAAAAGTATTTTTTAATTACACCTGGTGGATAAGTTTAAACAAAGTGAGGTCCTTGCTCAAGGGCTCAGCAGTGATACTCTGAAGTGGAATTTGAAATTGATAACCTTTTGGGCATTAGGACTGGAACTTAACCGTTGTGCTACCACTCTGGATCTAAGGGTGCGTTCACAAACCCTGGTCCATTTCCCCATTGCCCGAGACCGTTTGAGTGAGCTGGTCTCGATCCAGTTCCAAGTGAACTGTAAGGCAGTTTGCTTGCAGTGAGAAAGTGATTCAACTCTGAATCGACTCAACTGCAGAAAGTGAACTAGTGTATTTTGGGTTGAAGTATTTTTTAGATGCACAATGCAAAGCATAAACTGATCCAAAGTACACACTAATGATGTGTTTTCAATATTTCGACCAACAACCCAGAAAAACTCTGAATGAGAGACACTGTTTTAAAGTAGTTATTTATACACTTACCGGCCACTCCTGCTCATTCGTGCAATTATCCAGTCAGCCAAGTGGGAACAGGTTCATTGAAACTGGACAGTTTTAGGTTGTAAAAAGTCACCTGGTCCTTTTTTTCTAATTTTCAACTATCCAGTTTGGGTGAGCTGATTTCTGTTCTTGGCTGACATGAGTGGAACTCAATGTGGTCTTCTGCTCTTGTAGTCCATCTGTCTCAATTTTTAGCATGTCTTTGCACCATTCTGTGTAAACTCTATAGACTGTTGTGTGTGTGTGTGTTTGTGTGTGTGTGTGTGTGTGTGTGTGTGTGAAGCTCCAAGGAGTTTGGCAGTTTCGTAGATACTCCAAACACCAAAATCAATGCTAGGGTTAGAATAATTCGACCCGTAGCTGCATGATTTTATGCATTGCTCTGCTGCCACATGATTGGATGATGGGATAATTCAAGATCGGGCAAGTGTACAAATGTTTCTGATAAAGTGTTTTGGTTCTCCATGTTCACGTTATTTACCTTTTTTGGTCATCATATTTCTGACCAATGAAGAGTTTCACAAGTTTACAGCCCCACATGCCCCTATGCCAACCTTTATTTATGTGCATTGTCAAACTAAAACAAACCAAAAGTGTCAATTCCGTTCTGATTGGGACTAGGTAACTGTACTTTTAGGTGAGAAAAGTGCAAAGAGCCTTGCTACAAGACTCAACAATGGTTATTTGTTAGTCCAGGGATTTAAACTTGCAATCTTCTACTCTACACAACCATAACCACCATAATTCAACACTAAGCAACTGACTGAATGACTGCTGGCAACGTAATGTAGGCTATAAAGAGTTTTAACCTTTCTGATCATTAAGGGATGAAAGCTGGATTACTCAATTGCTTAAAAAAATTATACACATTTAAATCTATCTGTGCAATAGAAAGATTATGCATGTAAAGGTTGGCAATTCTCCAGTTGGGTGCTACCTGGGAAAACATGACAACCAGCAGTAACTCGGGAAGCCCAATTAGTGGCATGAGGAGAAAAAACATTTCTGGGGAAGGCAGGCTAAACTAAAATTATTTTGAACCCGTGCCTAATTCTTGTTGTCGATCCGAATCCATCACAGCGTTAATGCAAACAGATCAACATAAAAGGATTACAAATAAGCAGGCATCTAATCAAAGCCAGCCTTCATTCACCTGCATTAGACTGGCACAGTCATCGACAGCAAGTGCTTCTAATTCCACCTCTCTTCAGAGCCAGGAATAGACCTGATGAGGTTTTAATGTAATTGCCAGCGTGAGCATGTGTGCACTGTTTAGCAGTGATGAATCACGATGGGGAAGAATTGGAGGAGGTGCGAGCCTTCTGCGCTCTCAAAATAGAGACACAGCAGGCAGAGTCACAAGAAGTCACATGGAACTATAGGAAAAATTCACAGGTCGTGAAGGAAAGACACTGGGTTTTGAGATCTTACAGGATTCCACCCAAATGTCCATTCAAATCTACAGGAAATGCTAATGACTGTATATCTTTTAATATGATGAATGAACTGTAGGAACATCAAAAGATATCATCAAAAGAGCACTACCTTTCAGGATAAAAATTTTGCCATTTGGGTGGTACCATTAAGGGTATGTCTTTTTCTTTTTGTACTGGCGAATGTAACATACTACTAAAACTTATCAATGTACTTACAGTATATCACTGACTCTGAAGGTCTACTTAAGAATACATTTATCTTACTTGGAATAGAAAATGTACCTGTACCATATCTTTTTTGACAGTGTGTATCTCAAACACTAGGGTTTAAAAAATGGATTTGCAATAGCTCAGTCCAACAAATCAACAAGTAACAGTTGTTTCACAAATAAAGTTGGCTGTCAGTGCACAGTGTGCATCAATATTACATCGGAAAGAACAGTTGCTAGAAAATGATAATTGCTTAGCTAAAATGATCACTGATTAGCTAACACCCTGCTAGCTAAGAGGTGAACTATCTGTTAGTAGGTTAACATGCACAATTAATCAACACACTGACAAAAAGCATGGGGAAATTTCACAAATATAACCTTTACCTGTTTAGATATGTGGGTATTAACATTTTACTGTATAACTGGCTCGAAGGACAGCTTATGCTATATCGCTTTGCTTTTATTTCCTCATTTGTAAGCCGCTTGGGCTAAAAGCGTCTGATAAATGAATAAATGTAAATCACAGAGTCTCTTTTCTTCAGCTGTTACAAATGACCTACTGTATGATACAGCTAGAACTGAAGTCAGAGCTAATTCATCCAGCAATCCAATTTCTGTACCACTTATCCTACACAGGCTCTCAAGGAGCCTGGAGACTCAGGTTACAAGGCAGGGGGACACCCTGGATGGGGTGCCAATCCATTGCAGAGCATAATCACACACACATTCATACACCCATTCACACATTACAGACAATTTAGAGATGCCAATAAGCCTATGTGCCAATGTGTGTCTTTGTGGTTTCCACCCCAATGTGGGGTGGAAACCAGAGTACCTGGAGGTAACCCCCAACGCACGGTGAGAACATGCCAACTCCGTGCACACAGGGAAGAGGTGGGAATTGAACCCCCAACCCTGGGTGTGCGAGACAAATGTGCTAACCACTATGTCACTTTGCTCCCCTAGTCAGAGTTAATATTATAGATAATTAATCAACACCTTCAGATCCAAGGTATTTTTCCATTCAAACCCAGACAAACTTTCCAAAAGACTTTAGAAGTGGATAGCATTTGTTCTACCACAGGGGTGTTGCATGTTATCTGCAAATGACCATTGTGGGTGCAGGTTCAAATCAAGCAGGAGCCACACCTGAATCCACCTGTTTAATCAGTTTATCTTGGACTTCAATAGACTCAAGTGTGGCTTCTGCTTAGTTGGAATGAAAACCTGCACCCACACTGGCCCATTCCAGATAAGATTGGACACCCCTATCCTAGCAATCTTGTACAGTATGGTTTGGGAAGGAGCATATCATTTATTCCAAAAACACCACTCTGCTCTTTATTCATATGCCAGCTTCTGTTCTACAAACAAAACCTTTGTGCAGGTTTCTAATTTTTTCCCAAAAAAATCTCGGTGTTTCCATTTAGTTTTCCACATAGACAAATATATAATCTTTTCAGGTTGTCCTAAAAACTGATGGATGGAAAGTACAACAAATTGATAAGATGGACTAAGACAAAAACAGGCCAAGACATGTAAACAGAGAACCCAGATGAAAGATGAAAGAGTGTTCTTTAAAGGTCAAGCATCCTCCTTCAGGGTGTCTCCTCTATTAGTCCTAAGATGCCAAGAAAGACTTGAGAGTGCTTTTAGTACAATGACTACTAGTTGGACACTGCATCCTCTGTCCTGCAAAGACCAAAATTAAGTAGCGATTTGGAGAGAGGCTGAAAGCATTCTTTCCCCTTGGCCTAAAAGCTTCTCCTCCTTTGCTGAAGGTATTCCTTCAGATCTTTCTAATATCTTCCCACTAGGCAGCATGCACTCCCTACATCCAAACAAGTCAAATACCTCAGAGACTATGGCCACTTCTATCAGATTACATACTAATGATACAAATAAATTCTTTCCACTTTCCATCACCAGTGATCCCTTCTTGATCCACGTTGAGATTGTTAATCTTTTTTTTTTTTTTTTTTTTAACATTCTCCACTGTCTCAATTATTTGCAGTTTCACACAGATGTGCTTTTCAAGTCAAGTTATTTCACCTCCAGCACCTCTGGAGGTGAAATAAGCAATTACATCCCATGAAATCCAAAGACATGTCAGATTTTGATGTGAAAAGCATCACTGAAGATCAGAAGCTGTGAATGTCAGGCACCGAATTGCTTGGAGATACATGCATTACATAGTGAATAAGTGCAAGCAATGGCAGCAGTAGCAACCGAATTAATCCCACAGGGAAAATGTGACTGCAAAGCACTATCTGCACTGCTTTTCATACATGAGTTCAAAGACACCCTTGATTGGCTAGTGTCACTCTGAATGACAGGCGAGAGAGTGTAATGACTTCCCTCCCACCCACAGAGCATGGGCAATATTTGCTTTCTTGACTCATAGCCACGGATGGCTGTTACCTTTAAGCTGTAACTTTAAGTTTTCCCATAGGGGAAAGTCTTCAGGATGTAGGGGTTTGTTTCTTGGAAACATGATAAGCTGACATTATTCAAAAATATTACTCAATTTCTTTGTAATGCTGGGGGTGGCATTCACTGTAGGCTAACTGATTGATGGGTGTGTGAGTGTGTATGCGATTGTTCCCTATGATGGGTTGGTCCCCTGCCTTGTGCCCTCCATGCTCCCCCATGACCCTGTGGATGGATTGACTATATTATGTATTAAGGACTAGCTGATCAGCTGATTAATTTGACTCTGTAGATTCCTACTGGTTACAGTAACCAGTATAGTCCAGGTGTATGACCATAATATAAAATCCATGCACTCACATATCTTGAATTATATTATCCCTCCAGCAACTAAAATACTTTGAGTTCAGATTCTAGGACTTCTACAGAGCCCAGGCTCTTAGCTTTGAATAAAAGAGTCTGCATAATGAACATGTGTAAATATAGACTTCAAAAAATACATGGAAAGTAATTTTGTCACAGTTGCTGAATGGAAACAAATAACATGTTTATGAACTGAACTGAACTGATGTTTAGTACCGCCTTTATGAACATGAGTCAGTCATAGCAGAAGGTACAGGTTCCTTAATGCGATCCCTCTCCTGTTTCCAGTTCAGCTTCGCACAATCACTCCCTCAGTCAAGAGGAAAAGAAATTGAAGCTAATGTGTGAAAAAAAGGAACAGATGCCAGAAATGTTTCAGCACTGATGGCAAAGCAAATTGTTTGGTGGGATTTGTCAGCAGCTCAGAGTCACCGTGCATCTACAGACTTAGAAAAAACACAAGAAGCATAGTTTGCGTTCTTAAAAACAACACAATTGTGAAAGGCAGGTAAAAGAAGAGGGGTGTTTTCCACCCTGGAGCCTTGAGGCCAGAGCAATTATCAGTGTTGTTTTACTAGTGCTGCTCTTTCATGACAGCTGATCTCGGATTGATGACAGTGGTCGTGTGTTTGCTTTCCTTGGTTTTGAAAGCCAAAAATTCTAATCTGCCCTTAGGACAGAATAAAGAGAGACTAGCTCTTGGAAGCTCTTGGCAGTGTAGAAGAAATATGCATCAACACCCGTGAGATGGGAGGTAAGCAGCAATCAGAGACACGCAGGCCTCAACAGAATTAGTAAGGGTCTGTATGTATGTTTCCATGTAAATTGTTGGCTCAAACCAAGAAGGAGGGCCACAGTCAGTAATTGGAACGTCATGGGATTTCATGTCTTTTCAAACTGAGGTGTACACGAACCTCTGCCTGTGTCTATATTCCAAGTGACCTTCTCCTCAAATGAACTCTGTAAGTCTCCTTTGGTGCACTAGTAATTGAAATAAGGAGACAAATTAAGCAAAGTAAAGCAAAAAAAAAAATCAAAAGAAGGAAGAAAATTAAACACTAGCTGTGCATTTTTAACTTAATTACCTGGTAAGGCTAATGTAATTAAATCGAACCAAATGCGAATTAAGTTATTTATCAAACAGCATTTTTGCATTGTTGAATTCAGGAAAATTAGCTTGTTAATCACCAAAATGAATAAATTGCCATTCTTACTTTGCTAGCTGTATACATGCAATTTTGCTTGCAAAAACAAAAGTTCATTATTTATCCTACACTTTAAAATGTTTGCTGAGATCACATAGCTTAGATAGCAATGCTCCTGCTGCAGTATGGAACAGAATGTAAAAGTGACTGGCTTGTGCCACCTCTGACACATATGTATGAAACTTACTGAAACTCAAGGCACAACCTTGAAATCATCAACGTCATTGGAGCACAAGTTTGTACTCATAATCCTCAGAGTATTTACGCATATGGGTATTTCATTTCTGTGAATCATAAATATTAACAGAAAACTGATCTCCTAAATCTCAAAGCAAACTGTGCTTATTCTAATTCACTTCCTCTCATTAAGTCAGGATATAAACCTGGCTTGACTCAGTCAGTATGTGTGTGTTTGGAATTCTCTCAGTCAAATTACAATTTGATCCTTAGGTTTGTCTATAAAGTGGTTTATCAAAAATTTCTACATGATTGGACAAAGCAGTGTACAAAGCATTGCCCGCTGTGCTCATCCTGTTAGTTTTGTGTGTAATTGGGATTAAATTGGAGAGTAGCACTTTTTCAAAATCCACTAAAATTGACCAAGGACCAAGGTATTAACCAAGTAAATATCATGTGAGTAGCACAGTAGGCTAACTAAACTATAATGAAATGTATTGCAGGTGTTGGATAATAAATAAGTGTGTGGTCATAGAAAAACCGTGTAGTACTGGGTATTTATACGTGGTTGTGGTTACTAAGAGTTTAAACATCATTCTAATACCCATTCTAATACCCATGTATAAATTGGCTAGCAGGGATAATCCCTTCCCTCTCTTTCAAAGATTAAAAGACATCAATATAAGGTTTTGGTTTTTGCATCCACATCAGATTTGCTGTTAACAAAGTGGATTATTTTGGATTATTTTACAATCAGGCTCAATAGCACCAGCAATGGTCATAAGAAAAATACATAGAATGGGATGAAGAAGAAAGGCTAGAGACAATTTATTTTTCTAGTCCGGACTGTAGATTCATGCAGGTTATCAGTGAGAAAAATGTCATGTCATGAGCAAAATGCCCCTTTTAGCTGATTTTTATTTGACCTGATATTTGAAGGCTATGTAGCTAAGCAGGTTGAGTAAATATATAAACGCTAACCAGGTGTGAAAAATGTATATACTCGGTTGTGTCTATATTCATGCATATAGATAGTATAGAACTAACTTACTATATTTTACTAACCTACTATAATTTGTCCACCTCTGTATGGTCACTTTTTAATTATGTGGTTTATGAAGCATTGGGTACAAGTGAAATGCTTCATATCTACTTGAAAAGGTCACACACAATTTTAGTGACACAAAAGTGTGCTGTGGTTCTTTCCTACTCTGTTTTGCGCTCCTTTTTTCTTCAGAAAAATACTTGACATGCCTTACCTCACATGCTCACAGTTTATTGTGTCTTTCAGCACAAAGTATTATGGACTGTGAGCTTTTTGGCAGCACCCCCTGTCCAACCAAACTCTAATGAACAGTATTAAATATATTTTTTAATTATATTAAATTAATATATTATTTTCTTCCTGAGGTGTGCTTTAAGAGTCAGAAATAGGTCCCACCATGGTAAGTGAGAAAGACAGAAACATTCAGGTATTAAAAAACAAAACAAAAAAACACTGCAATTTTATTTTGCCAACTTGGTTGTATTTAATATGAATTTAGTATGAATTAAGATATGAATAAAGCTGTGAGCGCTCATCCCTCTTCCTCACTGAATGGTCTATGTAATGAAGTTGGGAGTGGACTACAAAGTGAACCAGTTGACACCAACACAAAGTGAATTTGCTGCTTATCATCAGCCCCAGTTATTTTATAGAAAAGCATTTACCAAATAAATAAATGTAAATTGTTGATCAGAAAATATCCACATACTGTATGTGGTTCCATGTATGTTTTGGCTCAGAA